CACTTAACATGTATAGCACATGGGTTACATTTAGTGTCTGAAACAATTAGACTGAATTATCCTGATGTCAATGGGATAATTAGCAATGTTAAGAAAATCTTTTTAAAAGCACCAACAAGATAAAAGTTTTATAAAAACAGTTTACCAAATACACCTCTCCCACCTGAACCTGTATTAACCAGGTGGGGCATTTGGATTCAAGCAGCATTGTTTTATGCAGAACACTTTGATGTTTTAAAACAAGTCAGTAAATATATGTATAATGGTCTTTTACTATCATTTTTATATTGAATATTTTTAGGTTGTAATGTCATTTGAAGCCACAGATGCACAAACCATTAAAAAAGCTCAAGAATTCCTGAATAAAGCAAACGTTAAAAATAAACTCTTATACATTAAAACTCATTTTAAAATTATTACTGATGCAATAGAACAATTAGAAACTATAGGTTTAAACTTAAACCAAAGTATGGAAATTGTGTAAAAAGTGTATACATCTTTAAAAAACATACCAGGAAAGGTGGTGGAAATGGCGTTCCAAAAATTATGTTCCCTATGAAAAAAGAATCCAGGATACGATTTTATATGTTCAGTAAATAACGTAATTTGCGGTAATGGAAATGCTACCAACAATACATACATAAATGAAAACGTAGATTGTTCAATGTTTAATTTTTCACCCATCACTTCTTGTGATGTGGAACGCACGTTTTCAAAACTTAAAAGTGTTTTAAGCGACCAAAGGTGTAAATTTACAATCGAAAATTTAGAGAAATACATAGTTTGCTTTTGTAACTCATTTTAAATACCTGAATTACCTAATATTTTATTTTTTGTTAAATACGACTTGCTTTAATTTGATCGCCATTTTTTTGCGATTACTTAGAATTAGTGGACGTAACTATAGATCGTTTGTTTATTTAATCATTTTTTTGTTTGTTACGCAAAATATTTGTTTCTATAATGTTTTGTTTAATGTTTTTTTTTTAATATATATTTTTTTGATGTATGCTTTTTCGTTGAGCAAATATTTTTTCCTCCAGGTTTTTGACCTAAACTAAGATGTTTGTAACCTAATTCATCAATTTTGGGACCTAAAAATGTCTCCTTTTATTCATTTTTTAACGACCTAAAATCCGAAGCCTACTAATAAGTAAATTTTTAAATCATGTGCATTTATTCTGCTTATAAAGAGTGTTTCAAAACGATTTTCATCTAGTTAGCTTCGAAATCGCTCCTATCTTTCCCTTGATGCAAATCTGCAGCCATAGGCGACTAGATGAAAATCATTTTGAAACACGTTGTATTTATTACAGTCAGTACGCTACGTAGGTAGGTACTTCTTAGCATTTTAGGAATGGAAACGTTAGCAACAACAAAATAGAAAATAAATAAAAATCGTTGTCAAATGCATTTAATGTTACCGTTAAAAAGCGAATATATAATAAACTTCAGAACATTGTATATAAAAATTAAGATTTTCGGTACTAACTCAATTTGTCAAAGTTTGAAACGGTTTAAAATCCGATAACATTGCAGAGAATTAACCTATTATATATATGCCTGTCGTCATGTAAGGTGCAAATATCCTTTTCAAAACAAAAATATTTTATCGAGAAGAAGGGACAATTTAGAAAAGCACATTTTAGAAAAATATATTTAGTCTCTAATTATAATAACAATTTAAGTTAGTACATACTGAGTCATTTTTTTTCCAAAAGAATAAATTTTTCTGCATATTTGTTTCTTCTGTGGATATTTTACATATGTAAGTGCACGTCTGGCAGTTCCTGCATATTTTGCCTACATATTTAGACTTTTTTAGTGTAAATCTGATGTCTACTTATTATGGAATTAACGAAAAAAACATCTAAGATTCTTGCTCGAGTTAAGGTAGTATTTGCAGTTCAATAAGCTGCTCATAAAATTGCAACTTTTCATTCTATCGCTTTAGATTTTTGTCCCACTATTATTATTTTTCTCGCTTGAATGTCCCTTGGATCTTCTCTAGATATCGTTGGACCAATTTATCATGACTTTCATATTGTGGTTTTGTTAGTACTCACAAGTTGATGATGTTTCTATAATTCAAGTTTTTACGAAATTTACGATATTTTTATTAATTATGCCACAAATATGCAAAAAAATGTTCAGTTGTTCAGTTTTAAATAAAATTACGAAAATTTGAAAATTTGAAGTATCAAAATGATTTAATTATTTAATTATTAATACTATATATACTATACTTTAACGAAATCTGTCACAAGACTAACATAAAGAAATGAACAAATTATTTATGCACATGCATACCGATATAAGTATTATCAAAGTTATGGTTTCTATCGTAATTATAAACGTTTAAAGCAGAAATATATTATCCAGGAAATGCATAGAAGAAATGTAGGTATTGCCTTCTTTCCAAAGGTGAATCGTTTCGAAACCACTTTCTTGTTAAATGAATAACGACTTGCCCCATTTCTGAGACCTATCACTTTGATATTTTGAATGCGTCTTGTAATATCGCGCAAAAGGTCAAACACGGCACAATATATGTCCATTCACCCTGTATAAAACAAATGGTGACTACATCCCAAATTACGGTTATGTAACTCTCATTAAGAAGTACATACTAATACAATTGTTTATCCTTCACGGACTTTAAGCAATTAAGATCAAGTCATAATTTTAGTTAGTTTAGTTGTTTTAGATATTACATAACAGAATTTTTGTAAAACATTCAGATTATTTTAAAGTATACAATACTAAAAAAATATTTTTAGGCTATTCACAAAATCTTTCAGTTGGAAAAAAATTAACAAGTTATTGAAAATAATGGTACATATATTTCATCGTCATGTCATAATAGGTATTATCAAAATGGTACAGTTCAATGTGGAAAGTGGCATATTCAGTTAGTGCCTATAAAACGAGTACCTACTTGGCAAAATTTCCTGATGAAAGCGTTACTAAGCAGACGTTAGTTCGGCACATCAGAGGCTTGCTTGATAGATTTATAAAAACTGAATGTGTGAATAGAGGCGGATCACCAGGAAGACCTTCAGTCGGTAATGAAGTTGTTGACGATGTAAAAAAACAGCTTAGAGCAAAGTCTTAATAAATCAGTAAGGAAGCTCGTATTGTAAGCTGATATTCCACCAAGCACGTGTTATAAAATTGCAAAAAAACTCTATTTGAATTTTATTTATTTGGTTAAGTACTTGAAAAATTAAGTTTTAAAAAAGAGGAGTACATAATTTGAATGAACTAATGGAGGCTACTTTTGTGACTTACACAAAAGCGAGTCATGGCTACTTTTCTATTGGACTGGAACTTTGTGTTTATCTTGATTTCCTATTTTAAAGTTAAAATAAGCAACATCTTTTTAATGCATATACGATGAATGAATAAATTTTTTTTTTTCATTTTGGATGAGTCCAAAATGAAAAAAACAAATCTTCGGAATTAGCACAAACAAGTTCTTCTACCTGGTGTTAAAATTAAATGGCGAGTTATGTTTCGGGACGTGATACTAAATTTTAGGAATTTATACTAAAATACAGTCAAAAAACGTGCTATGTTCTTCTAAAGTCTTCAACTTTATAAAAGGAAACAATAAATATATCAGTACAAACATGTATAACGTAAAACTATTCAATATTGTGTTTCCAAACATTTGGAGAAAATAAAAAAAAATAAAAAAAATCTTTGATTTAATCAATAAGATAAATTTCTTGATTCATTAATTTTTGATCACATCTGCCAAACAAACAAATACAGGAGCATGGCACATTATAGATTTCAAGTGAAATTTACTTAACAAAATTTCGAAAGACGTCATGAGTTTTTTTTTTCACCATAACCTTAAAATGTATGAAAAACTGCAAAGTAATCCATTTCGTAGTTTCTAACTTGAACTGTAAAATTTTGAATTTTTCAAAAGATTTACATTCATAACGTTAAACATAGGGGTGGGTCACATCTGCAAGAACATAATATTTTACACATTTTAAAGAGGTTTTACTTATCAAAATGTCTAGAAAATGTTGTCATCAAATTTTTGGTGGAGATGATTACATAAATTCTGGTTAGTTTTTTACCATTTACTTTTTACAAGGGATTCTGAAAATATGTGTAAAATTTCACAACACGAGTAGCTTCGGACATTTTCAGTCCAATAAAGTCGCCAATAGACTGCAGACAAAGAAACGCTAGACAGACATAAAATATAGAAATGGATCAAATTCTATTTCCCTAGATTATGTTCAGGACGCACAAAAACCTTAATCGAACAATAAAATTACAACTTTTATCAGACCAGCGATGTCATAAGTCCTAACACGCATTAGCAAACAGATTGAGTTCTGTGTAGTTAGGGGTTAAACTAAAATTATAGCTATATACATATTATAACAAAAAATGTATTTTTGAAATAATGAATATCACTACACTATGAATCTTAAAAAAGATGTAATAATCATGTAAAGCCCTACGCATTATTTAATTTTTAATCTTGCGTTTTTGTTATTTTACTGAACTTCTTTAACATTCTTTTTAAGCGTATTATACGTATACAGTTTTTTTTTCATACAAAATCATTTTAAGCATTTTTAAAGTGCTTTTTGGTTCACATATTAGATGTCTGTTCAAAATTACGTCAAAACAACTTTTGCTTAATTAATTAGTTATTTCGGCAAAAGCTCAAAAAAACTTTCTTTATCATTCTCGTATCTGAACGAACTGACTCGGGGCGAGGCTCGTAAAAATATCTTTTAATTTTGAGTCCTAAACATCAATGTTAAAATTGTTGTTTTGTTTATAAAACCAGAAGTTAAATTCCCAGTTGTAATTTGATATTTTTCATAAGACCATCATGCCACTGTTTGATGTGTTGTGAGAACTTTTTTACTTGTAACTTATCGTATATATTAGGCAACCAAAATTACAGATTGAATTTTTAACTCTCGTTTCAAATAGTTTATTTAGTGAGATAAAACAAAACAATCAATGAAACATTTATTTCTACAAACTAATTATTATTAACATGGTTCACATTCGATTTATTAACGGGTACATACTCACAGTTTATAGTGTTGTCAAAATAAAACTAATCCGATAACTATAAAATCTGGGTACATGATAATCAGCAAGAGTCATAATTAAAATAGCAAGCCAAAACTAACAATACCTACTGATAACAAGAAGATATGTATATAGCAAAAATTAACAATGTAACAACAATTATAATAGGTAACTGCAAAAATAAGCGCAGAGACTTATACATGCGTTTATTTTATTCTCATTTTTTCATTTTTTATTTCTTTAATTATATTTAAATTTTGTACATTTTCAATATATTAATAACAACAGTTTGTTATAATTGTTACCATTGCTTTACGCACATAATTAAAACGATTTATTTTCATATTTTTACCCGGCGCCTCCACCAAATTTAAATAAGATTTCAATTATGCTAATGGACAAGTGCTAGAATTTTTGTTGTTCTAATTTTTTATCACGTAAATACACACCTATTCACTTTGATACTTTGCTTCTAAATCATATAAAAGCTGCTCCCGCCTTTTGTACTACCATATATATTATATCAACACAAAATTAATTTTATGGCTGATTATTATTTTTAATAATTTATACACGTGACCAAAAAAGACGAGAACCCTTATATAACTGACACGACTGATTTATTGAATTCCCTTGAAATCGGTGCAAAAATGTCAAAGAATTAAAAGTTTTCCAAAAAAATCAGTAGATGAAATATGAGTACATGTTCCTTTGGGTCCTGCAATGTGTACACAGATAATTTATACATGAATCATCCTGAAACTAAAATGTTTGTTCTAATAAGGCTTAATGATAATTTAAATACGAATTAGCAGTAATAAGTTGTGCGTCAAACAATTATTCAGACCTTCTAGCTTCAATTGATAGAACCAGTTTGTAGTAAACAAAAGGGGCGACAACGAAACATTAACTCCAACAAAAAAATACTTTTAAGGTTAACAGTGTGTCAGTTTCAGATCAATGATATCTATGCGTTAGCACAATCAATGTTAAGTCAAAATTTTTCATTTCTTTGGTACAGTCGCGGCCATAGAAAAGTGGACCTTTTTCACACAACATAGTTTTAGTTGCTATTTTTTTTTTATATCATAATAGCAATTTGCATGTATGTTCCTGATTTGAAAAACGGGGCAGAGACAAAATTATTTGATTTGTCAAGTAAAACATTAATGAAACCCTAAAATTTGTTAAAATTTGAAAGTGCGTATCAAACGTAGTGGTCTAGTTTTCTCTGGCCACAACTGTACATATGTCGTGGAAATACCAGCGGTTAACATCATTCAAGCATTTTTAAAATATTTATTGTGTTTTTTTTTCCTACACAACAAAAGTATCCAATGAAATAAACTTCACACATCTGAATAATAGCAACTTGATGAATTGACATTTAAAGATTAATGTGGGTAGTGAAAGTTACCTATTGTTGTGCACATGAGATAGGAAAACCTGTTTTAAAAAATCATTCTTTGTTAACACTGTATGTTTGCAATATTCCTCAAGGAGAATCTAAGTTATTACCTTTGAATACTCACCGTGAATTGAAGTTTTTCACTTACATGGCTAAATATATTTGAATTTAATTTGTAATATAAAAGTAGTGATTGGTATCACTATTTTGTATGTTTTCCAATGTGTGTATAATTTATGACAAAACATTTACCGTGTTGGTATAAAAACAAAAAGTGAATTAACGCTTAAGATATTTTCTAGACATATAATTAGATCTCACAATGATAATAAAACTTAGTTTTTCTACACGTAAGTGTATTAAATATAACATGAAATAGTAAATGAAATTTCATAAGTATAAGATCACAACATTCTAAGACCTTGGTTGCTTAACAAGTAGGTAACAAAAAAATTTACAATTATTATATTTACATTAAAATAACGATCGACATATAATTAGTGTTATTTCAGCAATAATTCTTTCTACAGTTTCAACTATACTGTGCATTGAGCAAGATATCTAGGATAGGGTGTACAAACGCAAGGTTTTGCTCTCCATTAGGAGCCTTACTAATTATTTCTACAAAGTCATGTATGTATTAACACTTATTTCTACGTTTTGGCAAAAAATCGTTCAATTAAGCTAAATAATATTAAGTTTATATGTACATACATAGAGCAATTGATAACAATAATGGCATTAACTGACTGTTACTACATCCAAATTTTGCTCTCCGCTAATTAGGTGGAATTAGGATCCGAAAAAATCGGTTTGTCCGTTGTCGCTTCGATAACTATTCCTTTAGCTCCAAAAATCTTCCTCAAGAAGGGTCTCATTGTTTCCAGTAGCCTTTGGGCTCTTAAAGCTGTGTTCTAAAAATTATCTCGTTTGAATTTGGCTTCAGGAGAATTTTAATCTTACGATCATGTAGTCTCCTACAGTGGTAGACAAGTTAGTGACCAAAGTGTATGTAGATCCGAAAAGTTGACTCGGAAACTCTAGTGATACTTTTTGGTCTTTCTCAAAAATTACAATATCTTCAGTAGTGGTGGGAAGTTTAGGGGTTGTGGTTGTTTCCCAAGCAAAGCCTGCCGAGCGTTTCTATAATTAAAAGAAGTCTTTTTATAAAATATTTATTATTTTTAATATGAGTATGGTGACTAGTGAAGGTTTCATATAACAATTTGAGATTTCTATTTGGGGTTGACGTGCTACGTGAAAGGTGGAATAAAATAAATATAAAATGTTTATTGTAATTTATTACAAAAATTCCAAAAGAACACAAAGTGTATTAAATTATTTATTTCGTACTTATTTACAAAACTAAGACTAATTCATCATATTCACAATAAAATATATACATAATCTCAAATTGTCATACGAAAAAGGTGATATATTGTGAATAATATGATTTCCAATGGTTTCTACAAATGATAACAAAGCACAATAAATTATAGAAAGATCGAAAGAGAGAGAGAGATAGAAAAGACAGAAAACAATTTTGTTAAAACAACAACACTGGGTTAAGTTACGAAACTGAGAATATTTAGTAAAATTAGGACGATTACAACAACCATAACAAGTTTTGATAGTGAAAGTGATATCACGCATCGCCCGAAGGGTGGAATAATTTCGGGCCACGACCTGTACAAGTGACTAGAATAAAAGCTGCCACAGAATGATTGCATTATTTGCAGTAAATCCAAACTTATAAGGTTATACGGCTTTTACAAATTTAGTCAATCTTAAATGGGTCAATCTCCGACCATTCAGCAAAACCCACAGTTCTAACTAACTAGCACCGTACAAGTTACATTGCCATATAAGCTTATTTTTGTTTTACTGCACAATTTGGCCGTTATGCTTGTTGTAAGTACGTTTGCTTGAAGATGGTGAGCCACATTAAACAGCCCCATATCCCGCCGAGAAGGAGGCTCCAGCGCCGGCGTGGCCCGCCGCAGGGGCACCTACACCGCCTCCCAGGAGCGCCCCGAAATTGAAGCCAGTGTGTCCTCCACTAGAAGAGCCGCTGGTGAGCTTGCTGGTGACGGCGGTCAACAGAGGACCGGCGGCCTGCAGCTTCTGCCCGATCACCCCGGAGATGATGCCGGATAAGGAGACCACAGGATCTTGTGGAGGATAGATACCTTGAGCCTTGTTTTTGGCTATGTTGGTATGATCCAACTGGTCGATCCAGAGGGTCTTCTTGTCGATGAATGAATTGATTTTCTGTGAATGGATGAATGAGCGTGCGGTGCCAAGATGGAAACAGTGTTGTGCATAGTTAATTATGGGTTGGGGCAAGATAACGTCGATTTTGAGATAAATGGCATGCTTTGTTTTGGTTTAGATATTTTTCATGAAGGCACCTGAACAATGAAGACTTGTACATGATTACTGGTTGTAAAAGTTCGGACAGTATTTATGTAGTTGCATAATAAATTAATGTATGGTGCTAAAAAATGATCATTATGCATGACAGTGATTGCAAGCCAGTTAACTTTATGTATTACAAAGTTGCATGGTCATGTTCAGAGGAAAAGTTATTGTATAAGACTGAATTTTTTTATAAAGGTCAAAGTTTTACTTACAAGACAACGATAAAAAATAAACTAAAATAAAACTTTGAAAATAAAGTTTCATATTTTTTGTTTGAAACGCAGAAACACCGTTAATTTTAAATATGATAAAAATTAAATAAATGAACACCAAATATTATTGAAATTTTTAGAGAATTTATTCAGAATAAGCCAAAGATCAAAACATCAAAGTTTAAAAATGGTAGTTATTTTTGCAACAAATTCAATATAATTTTAATTATTTTCAAAGTAACAGTAACAGTAACACACGGATAGGTATGTATATAACGTCTGATAGTTAAAGAGTCCAACAAAGAATACATTCGGTTCATATTCTTAAAATTATGGTGAAATTTTGAATACATCTATTGATTTTTTACACTAACTAATGTAAGAATTTGTCACCATAAAAACACAACAAAAAGTATTTATTTCACTATTTCGCACATATTGCACACAATTTTTTTTTGCGCTGTGGGCGATATGTGTACATCAAATTTGTGCCACTGATTTTGCGTTTGATTTACCAAGTATTAGGACGGTTAGTATCATATAATAAATTGATTATGTCTTTTCTGATTTTTAAATATTTATAATTTTTTTTTCAAGTAATAACGAACAAATGATCGGTAGTTACGCTAGACTCTTGGTGATGGGGTGATATTAAAGAATAATACCAGACGAAGCTGTAATTCTAGGATCTCAAAAGTTAAAGTTAATTAATCTAGTCAATGCATATCATTACTTAGTCTTAATACCCGTAATGATAGGAGTCTTGCCTGAATGCCGGTCATTTCCGGGTCAATGGTGGGTCTTAAAACAATAAAATCATGAATTTTTACCCTGTCTAGCTACTACCGGTAAGTTTGTGTATTTCGTGTTATTTTTTTAAATCAGCAATCAAACATTAAATGCAAAATAAAACTTAAGAGCAACAAGTGTTAAAAATAAAAATAGTTCTGGAAACTTACACCGTTTCTTTTACTAAATGAATCTGGTACAGCCCATTTTAATCTTTTAAACTGACTTTAAATTAACTCAATACATTTTACAGCATATGTAATTAAGTAACTAACGAAATTTTAACAACATATTTTCTTAATAAAATGATTTAAAAAGATATATGTAATATGTCTCATTTTACTTACTATATACAAAATTATCATAGTTTCAAAGTGTCCAGTAAGACATCATGTCTTCTAATAAATAAGTTTGAAACATTTCGAACCAAAATAATAAATCAAATTAAAAATTAATTATTTATCCTCTTAGAAGAATATAAACTACTTTTTGTTACATAAAGTATCTATATTTTTTTTAAATCGTGGTCTGCAATTGGTCCTAAAATTGTTTTTCTAAAAAAAAAACGACGAAATTTATTTAAAAACAATAAAAAATTAAATTCTTCATTATAATTACTCTTTGAAAAATTTAAAAACTTAAATTGATTGTTAAAACATTTAGTTATTTAATAACTAGATAAATAACTACATAATTTATTTTAAATTAACCATCGGTTCATAGAATTTTTTTGTGAAAATTTTCAACCTCCTCTTAACAGAGATCTGTAACTTTGACTGTGCTTTTTAATACACGATTATTTCAGTTTCTTTTTTCTTTTTTAGAGAAGAAAAATCACGAATTTTCTTTTTTTTTGTACTTAATGTTTACAATTTCAAGAATTATTTATTCCCAACAAATTTCGGTATCATAGGAAAACAACTACTTTTTTGTTAACAAGAAAGAGCACAAGGATTTTTGGGTTACGTTGACTGAGAAAATAAGCTGCTAAAATTTCTATACTAATTATGCTACACCCGAATGAAGATCACTGATTTTTACTTAATTAAAATGTTGAAGCAAATGTAACAACACAGTGAGCAAAAATCACAAAACGAAAGCCGCCATATTTAATTATTTTGACAGAATTTGGGATAAAATTTAGGTTAGTGTATATTTTCATAGAAAGAGAAATCAACAATGTTAATTTCAGCACTTTTACTAAAAGTGATCATAGCTCTAGAATAAAAGAAACCGATAGAATAAGAAAGTAACTGACCTAGGATCAGTATAAACGTCTCAACTATTCTAATCACGTGAGACACATCAGTTTTAAATTTAGAAGAGACTACATCTCGAGGTTTTCAATCGATTTTTTTTATTATTTATATCAATGTACAACTATATAAATAATAGTTGTATGTGCCAAGTTACTCAAGTTAGTGAAGTCATGCACAACACTGAGGATGGTACACTTACGTTAAAGACAAATCCTAAGATAGCGTTCTTCACTCCGAAGGCGGCAGCCACTTTCGCCTTGTCTGCATATCCCACCTGAAATCAGTGATAGTTGTGACGTAAGACCGCATTGATCCTCGAAGTGTTTTCTAAACAGTGGGAAAACCAACCTGTTGCATGCTTAGCTTAACAAATGTTCCACTGATTTTTATAAATCTACATGACGTCCTCTAAAATCTAGTCATTCTAGTCGATATGGAAGAAAGTTACTTTATTTCACGCTTTAGAAAGCAGAGAAATTTTCATTTATAATTAAGATTAGCAGATAAGTATAAATTGCTACAATTTTCTCGAATTTATTGTAACTCGAGTGAACGCATCCTGTATGCAACAAAGCGACAAAGTGTGGTGTAATAGTTAATTTTGGGTTCACACGCAAAAAAATCGGCAAAATTTTCCTACAACTGTGTCAGTATGTGGTTAATTTAGCAATCAGAATTGCGTTTTAATGTATCCACCTACCTAATCAATTACAAAATTGCGGAGGAAAAAAGAAAGCTCAGGACGAATTTAAGCGAGCTGCTGACGGTTCGGGATTTCTTCGCGTTGCAAAAGATTGAGATAAAGTACTGTTTTTGTCACTGTGATATGGTGATGCAATTTTACAATGTGTCAGCAACCTGGGCGTTCTAGATATAACCTGAGTCCTAAATCTTGACTTTTGTCTTCTTTAGTTCCGGCAGTTGCGGAAGTAATAGTGACTGTCATCATTAATCGCATCGCATTGTTATTTATTTTGAAATTTCTATTTTTATGGCGGTGTTCAACAAGTTTAATTGAATTTAATTTTGACCAGCAAATATAAAACCTACTGTTGTAAAATAACAACAAGTTTTCATATACAAATAATAAATACTTACATAATTCGTGGTTTATAAATTTTGTGTAAAGAAGATATAAATTAGGATGTGTAAATTCTCAGAAGTTCAAAAGTATAGTCAGAAATGCTGTAATGTATTATATATTTCCTTACTGGTTGTATAGTGCCTTTTGAATGTTTTTATATTTTTTTTTTTTTTCTAAAATTTTCCATATTATAATGAACACAAAATTTTGTGCATATAATTTTCTCAGCGTTTCAGCTCAATTTTTAATTCTAGACTAGCTGCTAATATTTTAATAGTAATAGTAATAGTACGGGTGTGATTTAGACCAATGCTAATTTATGTTATTTTTTTAAACATTCTAATAAATAATCATGTAAATGTGACACATTACATAAGAGCTTTTTGAAAGCCACTTAGTTGAAAGTAGACACAGCAATTAATAATTAAAACAAATTCAACTATGTCCAAATTTTATTTACTATAAACTGATACAGAATACTGAATTTATTTTCCAACCTAATTTTTTTTTAATTATGACATAATTTGTTTACCGAATACGGACATCAATAAGTTTTGTGATATTTTAAGCTACTAATAAGCTAATAGCAAGGAGCAATAAAAAACACTATCCGACAGCTGTAGACTTTTTATTCTTTCATCTAGCCAGTTAGCGTCAAGTTTAAAAATTCAATTGAAAATGCAACGATCAAAGATAAACTTTCAAAAATCCATGGCTCTCTCTGATCGTGTTTTTTATTGCCATTTCGGTAGCATACATACAGAACTCTATTTGTCAATAACAAATATTTAAATGGTATTTATTTTACTATGATTCTATGAAAAAATACGAAAGTAATCGGAACCCAAGATAATTAATTTAATTAATAACAGAAGAAGTGTTAAGCACGAAACAAAAAAAAATGCTTGCAACACTTAAAATATACCAGAACAATTTTATTTAGGTATTAAATTTAAGCTTTCAGATGAAAATATAGTCAAGATATATTAATGTATACCTTTCAGTTAATACGAAAATCATAAAATATGGGAATAGAATTTCACACTAACTATTTAAACAAATGTGTACAATAGAAGGATTACTACAATAAAAAAAAGCTAGATACAATAATCTCGTTTTTCTACTATAAAAAACACTTAATATCTCCATACAAGCTACAGATCGCCAAAATTGTTAAAACAAAAAATCTGTTAAAATATACTCAAAATTATACTAGAGGATTAAATTTTAGTTGATTGATTGCATGTGACAAATAAAAGTGTTCCTTGATTATTAATTTTATACCTTACTAAACAAGTATCAAATCATTTAGAACCCGGCAAGTTTGGTCAGCGACTATCTTTGTATATTAAAAACCTGCTTTCTAATAAGAAAATAAAATTACCAAACTCTCCAGTAAACTTTTTTATCACATTTTTGTTCATTAATTTTTTACTGGTAACTTATACCTCCAAGTTTGAAGCAAACCTAAGAAATATTTTTGACTCACCTTTTATGAGTAATTTGAACTTAAACAATTATTTGTAATTGCAATAGTAGTATTATTTCTCTCGTGGAATATTGAACTTATAAATCTATATAACCAACAGGCACGGAATCAGATTTTTACTAACAATTTTATAATCTTCCACTTAAAATGCAAAAAACTGATTGAATTGTGTGTATTAAAAATATTAACACTACGTAAGCAAAAAGAGAATTAGAATAGACTATAATAATAATTATATGCTTTCTGCGTTTACTGCATTATAAAGTACGAGATTACTAAACCAAATGCTCTGAAATCTTGCAAACGTTTTAAGATTATCGGAAGCATGGTAAATCGTTATTCAAAATTTATCCGTTTACAGCCCCCTTAAAAATTGATGACGTCATCTCAAAATTTTACTGAATTAATGTAAAATATGCAAATTTTAAGAGTCTATACTTATGGTTTATCAATGCATTCATATTTGTTAGAATTGTTTATACAAGGTGACTCAAAAAAAAAATCAATGGGGCGACATATTTTCTTACCACTGTTATTAATAATATTACAATGCACCTAATCAAATTGATCTACGTTTCCTTGCTAAAAATTTAGTATGGAAAAACTCACAAGAAATATATGCATACCATGCTTCTTTACCTGAACCTTAACAATGCACACATATGTATATTAATTTTAGCTTATAGGAGTCATCATAAAAATAAATAAAATTCCCAAAGTTAATATTAATTAATTATTAATAATTACTATTTGTCTTAATTTTTTCCTTATAATATTCATGACGCAATAAGTAACTCAGAAAAGCGCATTAGTTTGCTTAAAATAGCATCAATAAAAATATAGTCTTCAAGTTGGCGCTAGAAGAGTAAGTTGTTTCCTCATTGTCTGCTATTCACAACACAAAATACGGAAGACACATAAACATCCGGTACAAACTAGAGATCCATTTTGTTGACCACAGGTTGTCAGTTTATGCAATTTGGAAAACACCAATGAATATCGCTAATGTCAGACTAAATTATATTAATCATTTAGTTCTATCTTTTTAACAATGTGAACTAAATCAAGAAGTCGTTTTACTTTTCGTGGCTATTGTAGCTACTGAGCTAACTAACAATCACCTAGGACTAACACGAACTAATACTCTACTCACGTTTTTGTGTCTATTTTTGTGGTAGCTCACATTTTGTTAATTTTTAGCATAATTATCATTGTTATAATTGTGTTGTGTTCATGAAATATTTAAAAATATATTATTCAAACAATGTTTCTTAAACCAGCGGTGCCGTTCCCCAAAGAGTTGCGCCATAATTATTGTTAAAGGTTCCAAAAATGTATGCAAATTAAATAAAATTTAGACGAAGTCCATAAACGGACAAATATTAGTACAAGCAGAATATTCTTGACCGATTTAGAATGCTAAAATGTTTATCTCATCTTAAATATAAAACACTGGCAAAGATTTTCAGCAAATTATTTAAAAAGTCCTGTTTTATTTAAATGAATTTCATTTTAATAATTTTGTAAAAAAGTAGTAATAATGAATTTGACTCCATGGTAATTGTAGAAATATTTTCATAAAATATAAAACACTACTAATACTAGTTCTTTAAAATTTTTCAGTTATATACAACAGTTCAGCAATACTATTTACCGTTTTACGCTAAATATAACATAATTGTTTACTTTTTTAATTGCATTTAACAACACGGTTTTTCCCTAATCAAAAAAAAGCCGCAACTAACAATAACTCGACAAATCACTTTCAAAGTCAATTTATGCATAATTTAGAATTAGAATTAGTAATATGTTAACAGTTATTTCAAAATAACACATTCACCAACGTGTTACAAATAAACCCATAAGTGACGTGCCAACGACTTTCGCTACTCAAAATCGAGAAAACCCATTGGCATTCAATGCAAAACAAGTGCCTCTATGCGTTAGGAAAATGTAGGAAGTGCACAAAAGTCTACTGTGTGAAAAAGCGTGCACACTATCACCGGAGAAGAAAAATCAATGCAATAAAGGCCATTACTTTCAGTTTTCAAGGGAAAACGCAACTGACCGATAAAAAATGTAATTATTCATAATTAACCGTTAATTGAGTAGTATTACGCTAAATAATGTATTTGCATGATAATGGAACTGGTCGGACAACATAATCTTGAATGACTCTTTATGTAACGTCCAAATTTAGCATCACTTTTACTCTCGGCGCTGGCTTATTAGCATAACTTTCTTCTCCGTTGCCGCACTTTTACTTGTGCTGAAAGATGCTCAGTAGAGTTAGACTTATGGTTATTTAATTGGTGAAAATTTTGTACGTACGTGGTCATGTCCTAGTGTATTAACGTGAACGCCGTTTGCCTCTCTTTTGACTAGTGATCTACTTTCGGAGACTCCGCAGAAAGTGACAAGGCAGGCCAAGACAGCTAATGTCCACATGTATTGCCTCATTGTGCTGCAACAGAATTACTAAATTGACACAACTGTACGCACGAGAAAGCGAGTAATCCTCAAGAAGTATATTGCCAATGCTAAAACAAGGCAGAAAAACTGAAAACACTAGCGTCACTGCAATATACCTCCGAAGCACTGTCACTGTTTAAAAATGGCGGCAATTCAAAAAATGGCGGATGATACCTAAGAACAAAAATGTCTTACACTGTTTAATGTTGGGACCGAACTAAGTGAGTGAATGCGATAATGTCTTAAAGTTCTTCTTATTTCAAAGCTCATATGTAGGTCGTAAGTGTTCGAGTGTTGGCGCGATTGGTAGCGAATGAAAGTCAACGAGGTCAAGGAGGGTACTTGAGATACCAATAGGAAAATTTCTTTTTTACCCCACTATTCCGCAAGATGCACTTCTTCGCGGTTCGTCTACCCTGCCGAATAATGTACTTGAACTTGACTTATGGCGCTTGCGAAATTTGCTTTGCATGACTGTACATTTCGATTATTATGCATTTTTTCTTGAAGAACGATTTAGAAGAATTGCAACACGTGAAAGAGCGTGAAATTACGAATTCAAGCCAATTCAATGTAACGTGGTTTCAGTATTTAGTTGTAATGTAGATGTTTTTGGCGCCAAATGATAGACCAGATTAACAGTTTGATGCAGACAACAAAAATAACTTTAAAAAAACTTGTGTTGATCTGCTAACAATTATTACGACATAATTTATAACTTTCGACATATTATTAAACTGCTTTGGTATATGTCTTCACACAAAATGTTGACATACTAAAGAAACAAATAAAAATCCTTCCACTGCAGAAGAGATAAAAATCAATAAATAATTTAGTTTGTGGGGTATTTACGAGAAATTTCGTAACAGATGGTATTGGCTTGAAGTAATTACCACAGGTATGTGGGCAAATGTACGGATAAAAACATTGTCGCGTGTCTTGAGTAGACTAGGTTAACTCCACATTATAAATCAACAAGTACGCAAAAGTTCTTAAGTGAAATAAAATTACTAGAATATTTATTGCGCAAAATTTAAAGATGGAATTTTTACTCAATATTTTAGACTAAACTCCTGATACACCTGTTATCGCACCACGATGTTTTTCTGCTATATTTCCCTCGTTCATAAGAAACGAAATTAGGCTACAAATCATTGAAGGCTTCTGTCATTATTTATAAGCCTTGTTGATGCATATTTTTGGTGTAACAAACAGTTTGCAAGCTGCATTGCATTAAATTCCTGAAAATTAGACTTTTTTTGTTCTTAGTAATTTTTATTATTGTCTAAAGTTCAGTTTCCTTTATTTATTTCTAGCAAACATATATATTGTTTTAATAATCCTTAATCGCGTTGCACGTCTCCAAGAATTGGTGTTGACTACTACTTCTAACTATTCAGGTTGTTGACGGATTATGATAGTGGTGCGACAATTCTAATTTTTTGAAATTTAAAACCTCTGTTAAACACCAGAATTAAAATTCACCATAGGTAATGAACTTTGTTAAATCATATATCTTTACAAATTTACTAACGATTTCCCTAATTATTTATTGATAAATCATTCCTAAAAACTCGCTACAAAATTTCTTTAAATTTTTATGAGCTTGAACTACTTACATTAACATCTAAACTGACATTTTCTATTATTTTCCGATCTGGACATGGTAAAAGAAGCACGCATTGCTTCAAAGGTCGGTATCATTCAGAATATGGTCTACCGATTTTTGCCAGAAAGATAACTTTACGGAGAAAGGAATGTTTACTTTCTGGAGAAATGGTGCACAAAATTTACCAACACTGCTAATTACAAGTAATTTATTTATAAAATGCTACAATAAAAGTTCTAATTAAAAAGTTACATTGGAGTGAATTAAAGTGAATTTACACCAATGTTAATATATTGTAACAATAATAATAATATTACACTGATAAACATCTTTGATTGCCAAATCCGCAATTAATTTATTGGTACAAACAGAAAACTAATAAATTTCACTTTTACCATATTGATTGAACGAAGAAAAAACCTGTTCAAACGGATACTAGAAACTTTTACTCCTTACTTTTATGGTCGTAAAAAATGCATTTGCTGAATTACTTTGTCAAAATAAAAAAAAACATACCCATAAACAAAATAAAAAACTGAATCGTTTTATAAACGCAATGTTTTTTTTATATAACTTAAAGATCACGTGAGAACCACATCACTTTTCTTTTACTCTCTCAGATTTTTTAAATTACAGTGAGTGCACTAAAGTGAATGCGAACTTCATTTCATCATTGTGTCTAAAATCTCACGAATTTTGTTTATATAATTCGATTTAAAAAATTCTAATGTGAAGAGTTTAATTCAAAAATATTTCTTGAGAATCGATCTATCTAATATCTAATCCTGTTTTATAATGTCAATCTCTTTATTGAAAAAACGGCCGTCTCTTGTGCAAACTATCTACTCCACGCCTGATGACTTTCGATGTCTTGGGGCTGTCTGTTTTAATTAAGTATTATTTTATTTTTATGAATGTGATAATCGAACCGCTTCAGATTTACTGACTTCATTCGTTTTGTGAGCGATGTCTGACTGCACAGTTTAGTATTAAGTACTCATAACAGGGCAAGAAAGAATGGTATTTGGTTTTATTTTTAATTTTCTAGCCATGCATGTATTATAATAATATAATCATAACCATTTTGATAAATGTCTAATTTTATTTTTTCTTAGAATATAGCGAAATATGGAAAAATAAACTTAAAAACTGACAGCCGAAGTAAGGGTCAACTAAAATGTAATTATGCATCTCCTCCAAAAAACAGGTAATGTCATTTCAGAAAATCCACGCAAATCTTACTTGAAGTGTTCAACGTATTTAACTTTGCGTAGTTCAAATTTCTAAAAAAGATCTCTGCAAACAATATAAGAATAATGTTATGATTAACGTTTACTTACAAAACTAAATTTTGAAGTTTTAAAATAGTATAAGAATTGAATTCAGTGTCTTCCATTGTACCAGATGACTCATCCATGCAGCTACTTCATCCCTACTTTGATTGGAGAGTGATATTTGGAAGACATTTGGAATAAAATTAGGAACCTTGCATTTATTTGCCATTAGCTTGAAATATTTTTTCGCATTTCCTTTGTCAGTTTATTCGAATAACTTGAATTCGAGGAATTTTACAGTTTTCGTACAGAAAAATATTCACTATATTTTGAAATGTTACATATAATTATGTATCTTGCATTATAAGAATATTCAGATTACACCATTTCATTGAACACAAATCCGGTTTTTGGAAGTCAAAATAGGAATAATACATCATCACCGACTCGAACATGTTAACTAGAACAATCAGATGTAATAGGGATAATTTACATATAAACTGCCACATTATGATCAAAATAAGACCTTGATATAGCATCTCACGTCAGGAATACAGCATCAAGAAAAATGCACTTGAATTGTTTGAGTACGTTTCTGGTGGAACAATATGCTGTTCTAGTCCAATCACGTTAATCAAGGGGATGATATTTTTCAAAATAAATAGGGGGCTTCGGTGCCCTGTAAATTTGAACTTTCAATTTTCTAATATTAATATTACAAAATAATATTGTTCTGAATTCAGTGACAATTTTTGCTTAAACCGCCTCTACTTTTTCCCTACAAATGAGAATGTACATACAGACTGTCCAAGATTAAAGTCCGCGGCCTTATATCTTAAGAACGAATAGAAATATTAATCTGTTCGTTAGAACAAACATACATTGCAGTTTAAACAACATATAATTTTGCGTCGTGACGCCGACGCCATAAATGCGTCCTATTTGCAGTGTGCTAAATTCAGCTTCGTCTTTCAAACCAAAAGCATTGACGTGTACAGAATTTCAATATTTCTATCCCTTCTCAAGATATGGGCCCGCGGAGTTTTATCCGGGCCATTTTTTTAAAACTGCGGTCCTTATAAATTCACTCTAAATCTCAGTCGATTTGCTTCTAACAATATGATTGATTTTAATGCGATCTTGAAAGTGGAGCGTCCACTAACACCGGATTTGTGACAGTTTAATAGTATATTAAAGAACGAGTTTCATAAGGCAGATATTAAGGCACGAATCCAAGTTTATTGAACGACCGGCGAAGCATTATGAACGCGTTATTTATACTATTTTTTCTACTGCGCACGTTTTTTCGCAAAATTTAATTGAAATTTGGGTTTTTTTTAAATCTGGGGAATTTTGTCGTGGTTGATGATGGGTTGTTTTGACATGAACCACGAAACATTTGAAGTTCGAATTGTCACAACAACAACTATAATTCGAATCAATTCGAGTTTTTGTAAATTAAAATTGGTTAAAATGTCTTATGAAGACGTTAATGCAGTCCTTACGCCTCCCGAAATACGGAAAATTGCACAGAATAGTATACAAAATTTATTGCCAAACAAATCTCGTTAAATTTATTTTGACGTTTATTTACTTTATTTAATTTGACATTTGCCACTGACATTTCTCGACATGGCTACCAACCATGCCGATCTAAATTACACCAGATCTATTTCAGAACCCCTGTGTTTTTGAAATGTACGCTAAAAAAATCTGAGTTGTCGGGTGAGCCTAAGAGATTCGAAAAATCTCATTGTCAGATAAAATGCCAAAAAAAGTCATGGCTGATGATGAATTATTTGCAAAGACTATAAAATTTATCAGAAGAAAAAAAAAGTACATTGTGATACTCTAGCCGAGTGAATCTTCCTAATGTAGAAAACACCAGAACAGTAAATCAAACTAAGTTGTGGAAAGAATGCTAAGGGAGGCCGAATTAAACATGTTTTGAGGAAAAAATTTTAATTTCTTTAATATATACCCCAAAACCATAAAATTAAATAAGCATACAATAAAGAAATCATAAAAATATTTTTTTGAAATTTAAAACAAAAACAAAAATAAATCAAATTTTGAAAATGGCGTAGCACCCGTTTGCTAGACAAGCTT